CACTCCTGTGTCTCTCTCCTGCTCTGTCTTCTTCCTTCTCCATCAATCTGTATCCTTCCTGTCCATTTTTAAGGCTCTGCTCCAGCTCCTGCTCCTCCAGTTACCTGACTGTAACCAGCCCAGGCTGCAGCACGTGCTGAGCAGTGGCTTTGGAATCTTACTTGACTGCAGCCCACAAGGAGATATGTTCCAGGCGCTTAGAGCCCCGTGCACACCCACGTCGACATAACTTACCCACTCTGGGCGCCTGCATTTTCTGTTCTGCTCTGTTTACTAAAGCCCTCATCTTGACCCACAAAATTGCTTTATCATCCTACAAATGGGTCAGCTGGGCCACCCTCTGGCACAGACGCTGCCGGGGCTTAGAACTTCTTGCCTGAGTCTGGTTTCGTAGGCTCCCTGGGGAAGCATTTCTCTCTCACGCAAGGAACCTGCTCAACTCAAGCCTCATCAGCACTCAGAACATGCCCTGAATTCAGTGTCCTGTGATTTCCAGCGTTCAGTGTCATTATGAAAGGTTCCATCTCCCAGGTTCTTCCTGCCTTTAGAGGTGAAGCTCAGTAAGATTATTCTAAGAGATCTGGGGGAATTCCAGCATGTCTCCTTGAGATGACAGGCTGGTTTCATTATGTTCATGGGAGCAGAGGTTTTATATGCCACGAGCATCTTTACTCAGTGCCCCTGTCAAATTGACCTTTCTAACAAGATAGCAGTGCTGTGAAGGAAGAAGTGTCTTTGTTGCATAAAGTTTTTGTACAGTTTGTATCCCAAGTGATACATTTTTATTCAGTATAGCAGAGTCTCCTATGGAAGCAAATGGCAGTGAGAACCAGCAGAGTGGCCGTGAAGGCAGGACCACAGGGTGGACAGATGTCTCATGGAGACTGACTGCACGGTCACTGGAGTGAGCGTGGGCGCTGGAGCCACACCTGTGTGTGCCCCGTCCATCGCTGGAGTGAGCGTGGGCACTGGAGCCATGCCTGTGTGTGCCCCGTCCATCGCTGGAGTGAGCGTGGGCACTGGAGCCATGCCTGTGTGTGCCCCGTCCATCGCTGGAGTGAGCGTGGGCACTGGAGCCACGCCTGTGTGTGCCCCGTCCATCGCTGGAGTGAGCGTGGGCACTGGAGCCACGCCTGTGTGTGCCCCGTCCATCGCTGGAATGAGCGTGGGCACTGGAGCCATGACTGTGTGTGCCCCGTCCATCGCTGGAGTGAGCATGGGCACTGGAGCCACGCCTGTGTGTGCCCCGTCCATCGCTGGAGTGAGCGTGAGCACTGGAGCCATGCCTGTGTGTGCCCTGTCCATCGCTGGAGTGAGCGTGGGCGCTGTGAGCCATGCCTGTGCCCTGTCCATCGCTGGAGTGACCGTGGGCACTGGAACCACACCTGTGCCCTGTCCATCCACCCTCTTGTGCATTCGCTGTACACACGATGGCATAAAGTAGTTGTTGCCTTTTTCCGGTGCTATCCCAGAAATCATCCATCATGTGGAGAAGCATTTCATTTTCACTGGAGTAACCCTCCTTCCTCAGGACCCCAGCATCTGACAAGGGAGATCTTACCCAGCACCAGCTCTTCCTTCTCTTCTGAAATGTGAAAAGAAACTTTACCCCAGTTCAGCTCTGATCAAGAGCTCATTTTTAGCTAAAGGATGTCATTAACTAACACCAGCTAATTACTGATTCTCTGTATTCACATTCGCGAAGGAGTGCACGGTGAGTTTCTGAGACTGAGCTGAAGGGCCAGGCGTTCCTTCCAGAAATGCTTATGTCCTGGAAGCCACATGCAGTCACTGTTCTAAGGGTATTTCTCACAGAGATCAGTGAAATATGCACCATATAGCTCTTGTATTTACACCAGGATGCTCAGCTCTTGTCTGTTTTAAACAAATATTGGACCTTGGTATAGATTTTTTGGGGGATAGGGGTAGAGATTTTGCATCTGTGAAATGAGAAAATGGATTATAATCCAGGGATCAAATATGAGACCACGATTCTGCACCTCTGTGCCACCTTCAGATACCTAGTATCAGTGAATTAGTAGTGTCCATTCACCTTACCATAGCTCAGATTTTGGCTTAGTTTTCCCAAGCCCTTCAATGTGGTTTACAGAAGAATTCTCTGGGGGAAACCATTCAGAACATTACCAGTTTCTTTTCCTGGCTCATCCCATGAACCTGGGTCAGACATTTATTATGAGAAGTGCCAAGCTGTGCATGGAAACATACAATGGTCTGCAGAAAGGGTGTTCTGGCTTTAAGTAGCATACATTTAAGAAACCTCATGGGAAGGGCTAACTATTCCTTTAAATCTCGGGGTTTGCCAGTGCAAACAAAGCTGTGCTGTACAGATTCTCAGGAGCCTGAAACCGTTTACCCGTCCCTCTGCCTTCTGTGATCAAGTATCTGACACACATCTACAGCACATACTGAGCGATTCTTTCTGTTTTGTGATATTATTTGCTTTCTGTCTCATTGTTCACTGCTGGCTGCGTAACTGTGGCACCACCTGTATCTGCCTGTCACCAATTGGCAATAGGTTGGGTAACCCAACTTTTCAAACAGCAGGCAACTTTAGAGACGAGGTGTGCTGAGTGAAAGGTGAAGATGGTGTGTGACTGGCCAAGAATGTGGTGATTTGGTCAAAGACTTTGGCATCACTTTGACTGCAAAGAAAGTGTGGTTCCTTGAAGACAGACCGTTGTGCGCCAGGTAGTTGAGGTTGCTCAAGAGTGCCCTTGAAATAAAGAAGCGCTGACTGCATATTTTATGCATTCTGCGTATCAGCGTGCACATGATTTCAATAAAGCATGACCCAAATTCACACTGGATAATGCCACCGCTGATAAGATGTTCAGACAAATGAACGTAGCCAACTGGGCAGCAAGTATGGATTCCCAGCATTAACAGAATCTAATGTATAAATGCAACATGACATAATTTATTAAATGCAAAATGTATGCACGTCTGTGTGTGTGTGCGTTGGTGTGGGCTTTCAGGAGAAATCTAAGTCAAGGTATACTTTCTTCCACACATCTGGGATGCCTTAAGTAGGGGTATCACATTTGAGAGCTGGTAATGGCCCATAGAGATCTTTTACTTCGTTTGTTTATTTTATCCATAAGAAAACAGAGCCAGGGAGAAGTGAAGCCTGGGTGGGAATGGGGAGCTCCTGCCGGTGCTTGCATTTACTGGCCTCTCTGAACGCTAGGTGGCGGTCTAGCCCCGTCTTCCGTCAGTTCTGCAGGCTGCTATGCCAACCTCAAGGCTGGCTGGAAGGCCGGCTCTTGTGCCCCTTTGACCGGCCATGCCACCTGACTCAGATGATGGCGTGTCTGCATTTGAGGCTTATTTCTTTTGGCCTTTGCTCAAAACTAGGGATAAACATGTTTTAAAACAATAATCAAAATACATAACAGTCAGTATTGGGCTTTAAGCTCCAGGAAGGACAGGGGGCCAGGTCATTCTCTGATGCACCATGCCTGTGGCTTTTCTGTTTTCTCGTTGGAAATGTCCTATTCCAGTATTTCTTCTGTAGTAACAACCTGCTTGTCTCCATGATCTCAGCCACGGCCATTGGAAACCCTCCTTTCCCCTAGCAAATGTAGGTGTCTCTCTCTCTGGAGGGGTGGTGTTCACCCCTGGAACCTGATGGCAGTTTCTGTAGAATGTCTTGTTATCAGTTTATTAGATCTTGGTCTTTTTATGCCAGAAAGAGTCTTCCTTGAGGGCCGAGACATGTGCACCTCTCTATCTGCAGCATCAAGGGCAGTATCTGGGTCAGGGTCGTAGCTGAGAGGAAACTGGTTAGTTAATTGGATATATAGATGTATGGATGTTTGGGTGCTTAGATGGAAAAGGGTGGAGAAAGGGAAGAAAGGGAAAGGAAGAATGAGGGGAAAGTGAAGGGAAGGATTTATAGTGAGTGGATAGATATATGGTGGGTAGATGAGTAGATGGGTACATGGGTTGGTGGGTAAATGAATGGAAAGGCATAGACTGGTGAATTGGTAGGAAGATGTATGTGGTTTAGATGGATAGATGGGTGTGGATGGATGGTTGGACGAGTAGATGAATAAATAGATGGGTGGGTGAGTGGGTAGATGGATGGATGAATGGGTGGATAGATGGATGATTGTTCATAGATGAATGGGTAGATGATGGCTAGATGGGTAGATGGATGGATGGCCAGATGGATGGGTAGGTGGATGGCTAGATGGATGGATGGGTGGGTGGGTGGATGAATGGATGGATGGATGGATGGATGGATGGATGATGGTTAATGGATGAATGGGTAGATGATGGCTGGATGGGTGGATGGATGGATGGCTGGCTGGCTGGATGGATGGATGGATGGGTGGGTGGATGGATGAATGGATGGATGGATGATTGTTAATAGATGAATGGGTAGATGATGGCTAGATGGGTAGATGGATTGATGGCCAGATGGATGGGTAGGTGGATGGCTAGATGGATGGATGGGTGGGTGGGTGGGTGGGTGGGTGGATATATGGATGGATGGCTAGATGGATGATGGTTAATAAATGAATGGGTAGATGATGGCTGGATGGGTGGATGGATGGATGGATGGATGGATGGATGGGTGGGTGGGTGGATGGATGGATGGGTGGGTGGGTGGATGGATGGATGGATGGATGGAGGATGGTTAATGGAGGAATGGGTAGATGATGGCTGGATGGGTGGATGGATGGATGGATGGGTGGGTGGGTCGGTGGGTGGGTGGATGGGTGGATGGATGGATGGATGGCTAGATGGATGATGGTTAATAGATGAATGGGTAGATTATGGCTGGATGGCTGGATGGGTGGGTAGGTGGGTGGGTGGATGGATGGATGGATGGATGATCGTTAATGGAGGAATGGGTAGATGATGGCTGGATGGGTGGATGGATGGATGGGTAGGTGGTTGTATAGTTTATAGTTTAGCTCTGGAACCTATAGACCAGCCCTTCTTACCTCTACCCCTTTGTTTCTTTCTTCCAGGTCGTGGGCATTTTTGCTGGCTTTGGGCTCCTGCTCTTGGTGGCCTCACCTTTCCTACTCCTGGCCACTCCCTTTGTACTTTGCTGCAAGTGCAAGTGCAGTAAAGGTGACGATGACCCGTTGCCCACCTAGAGGCAGCACGATGCCGGAACAAATCCCTGCCTCCGGGAAGTGCGGCTCTCCCCCACCCCTCCCCGCCATCCCCCTCTCACTAAACATCTTTCTTGCCTTATGTGCCCCATTGAGCTTCACAGTGTCAGGCTGGACGCCGTGATTTCAGGGACCGATGTCACAACGTTCGCTGAGGCCCCAGATGTGGTCACCTAGGTGTGGGGAGGGCGAGGCAGGTGTGGGTAGGGCACATCCCCACAGATCATCCTCTGCAGATGACAGGGAGGTGCTGTGAGAAGCGCACCAGGCAGCCTTCTCTCTGTGGTAGACTAGGCATGTCTGGGGGTGGCCTAAGAGACTTTCTCTTACAAAACATTCTTCGTCTCCTCCTTGGCTTCAAGATGGCACCATGTTGTCGGAGAAGTCTTTTAAGGATTGCGACTCTCTTCAGACAGAATCTGATTATTCCAGCTTGAGAAAAGCACTCTGTTTATGACAACTGTTTTTATTACTAATGGCGTTTAGTAAAATCCTTTTTAGAAGGCATTTTTTTTTTCCCAACTGAGTAGTGAAAATCAACAAGGTGCGTATAAACCATCCTATGCCTTTCTTGAAATGTGCATTTTGAGAAGTTATAGTTAAACGACTTTTCAGGAGATTTAGAAAGCCTTATGCACTCTTTGTGTTTTTCTTGAAACTTGCTGTAATAACTTTTTGGACGCTGTAAGCTATGTACTGTTATAAACGTGGTTCCTATATTGTTGCATTTCCTTGAAAATATTGACATGTTTAAAGGAACATCTCATCTCCATTAGATTTGCCTTTTGTTGTTTTCAGCTCTTGGGTCTCATCCCTTCTCAGCGAGGTAGAAGCAAATGTTTTTTATTGTTTTCAAGCCAACTGCTTTGCTCAGAGACGGCTCTCCTCTGAATTGCCACGGTCTGGCCTCTGGCCTCCGTCTTCAGGTAGACAGTGAGAACAACGCAGCGTCACTGATACGGAGACGCAAGGCCTCCTGGCAGAGGCTGGAGGACTCTGGGCATTAGGGAGGAGCCGACCAGATTTCCACATTTTTAAAATGCTTTAGCCATTGTATGTCTTACACAGTTCCAAGTCCTGTTGCTAACCATTTTGCTCCTGCTGGGGGAAAACCCTCCCATTTCACTTAGTTTTAACGTGAGGATTTTACCACTTGATCTTTTCCAGGGCTGTGAGTGTCCATTTCCACGGCAGCAGGGTGCAGGGATGAGTAAGGAGACATACACATTACTCCACCAGTGGACTCTGAAAAGTGGAGAAAGTGTATTCTTTAAAGAGAATCTACTTCTAAAAGCCGCAGGTGCTTTTAAAAAGCAAACTGCATTGAACTTAAAGCTTCTGAAAAGAACAGGCAACTATTGTAGATGTATTACAGTGGGATTTAAAAAATCTTATTAAACATTCTGTAAAGAAGTAAAACAAAAACAAAATCCTTTTTTCTCAGTTATTTGCTCATGACAAGCACATTTTTAAAATGTCGCTTTGTGTGTTTGACTTCTGCATTTGAGTATCAGTCTCAGGTCCTAGTTTACTTTCCCTGGTTAGAAATTTATTTCTTATTTCCCAACATTGAATTCATAGAGGAGACAGCAGCACCTCACTCTTCACCTCTAGTGTTGATTTTCCTTATGAAACTGAAGCCATTTAGAAAATTCCTCTGTGTCAAAATTACATTCAAAAAGCTCCCCTTGTAATTGCACTGTATGAATTTAGTGACTAAGAACATGCCTGTGACTCCCTTTCTGGATGAAGCCTGGGCTGCGGCTGCCCATGGTCTGTGGTGCCGTGATGGTATCTAGGGGTAGAAGAGCGTTTCTGGAGATGGGTGGCAACTCCTTCAGGGGTTGTTGGCTGGGCTTGAACCCTCAGCCTGCGATATGTGGATGCAGCTCTCCAGCTCTGCCCTTTAAAGTGCCCAGCACACATGGCAGGCCTGCGGCCCTCTGTCTAGTGGTCCCCAGGACAGGCCTCCACCCTATGCTCATCCTTCCTGCCTGAAATTCCTGCTGCCCATCGCACGAGCCCGCACAGCAGCACCCCCGTCCTCAGGATGAGAGTCAGAGCCTTTGGAAGGGTTGCATCCTAAGGCTAGCGCTCACATCACCTTATTTCTAGAGGGACAAGCTGTTCACTGAGGAGTCTCGGGCCCAGTCATGCACATCTGTAGCCCCAGCCGTCCTTGTGCCTTCGCCTCTGATGTGTTTCACAAGCACGTAGTTCAACCCAAATAGGGACCACAGAGATTCTGGGGCCAGCCAGGGGCAGTCAAATTAGCACCTACTGGCTCTGACTTTTTGTATGATGCATGCCTCCATTTGCTCATTTTGATCTGGTTATAAAATCAAAATTGTCCACTTCCTTTATAAATGCCAGCAATGCTCTCTGAGGTATATAAACTCGCATTTCCTTCTGTTTTAGTAAGGAATGCCATCCTCTTATGGGAATACACTATCAACCCTGCTTGATATAAAATGTAAATAGCACACTGGAAGATGGCTCTCAGCTTGGACTTTGGTCTTGCCGTTACTCCCCAGTAAAACTTGGGGAGTTCCACATTCAGTGGATGGATCTATTCCCATTAAGTAGCATAATTTGTCTCAATTGAAAAGTGACATTCACTTTTACAGATGGTGTTCATTCCGAAGCCCCGGCAGCACATGGCATGTGTTCCTTAAGAGGTCTTTAAATTGGGGAGTAAGGGGTGAGGGCCCTTAGACAGCCACGGCTGCTGTACTGCTGTCCAGGTGGGGTGGCCAGTGAGCACTGGCCATAGCCCAGTGGACCTGTGGCTTATCTGAGGGCTTCGGTATACCTGACCACATTTGGAGGATTTGCTGGACATGCCTGACCTCTTAGTCTGGCTCTGCTGTGTAGTCCATAGCTCAGCCAGATGAGCTGTGCACCCTCACAGGAAGCCAGTGCCTTGCAGAGATGCAGTCACCACAGATGTTCACGTAGTAAAGACTGACTTAGGATCTGAGCATAAAAAAAGCCTTGCATTGCATGAATAACTGTCCAAATTAGTTCTTCCTCCTCAACTCACACGAGTAGCTGTGGACAGAGGAAAGGAACCAGCATCTGCCACCTCTGGCATTTTCTTCCTTTTGAGGTGGAGTTTGGCTGTTGGCGCCAGGCTGGAGTACCATGGCACCATCTCGGCTCACTGCAACCTCTGCCTCCCAGGTTCAAGTGATTTTTCTGCCTCAGCCTCCCAAGTAGCTGGGATGACAGGTGGCAGCCACCATGCCCAGCTAATTTTTGTGTTTTCAGTAGAGATGGGATTTCACCATGTTGACCAGGCTGGTCGCAAACTCCTGACCTCAGGTGACCCGCCCACTTCATCAACCCAAAGTGCTGGAATTACAGGCATGAGCCACCACACCTGGCCTATTTTCTTAAAGGGGAACAAATGATCTTGACAACATATTATTCCATAAAACCAGTTTAGGGCGCAGGCCATTTCCTGATTAGAACACAGGGCCCGTGGGAGGGACTATCAGAGATGCAAAAATTACTTCAAGATGAGCTTATTGTTTTCATTTCTATTGCAAAAGTTAGAAGTCATTTTACAAATTTAGAAAACTTTTTCTTGGTAGTCTTTAAAAATTAGGGGATTGAAAGGATCCAGGAGGGGCTTTGTGAGTGTGTCTCAGATTCTCATTTCTTAGTGAGCACACCTGTGTATATATATAAATCACAATGAGATCATCAAGGGAAAACATTTTGCATGTGTAAAGCTTCATGAAGTTCTCTTTAAAAAATACCAAAGCTTGTTTATTTCTGATAATTAACCTAAGCCCGTATGAAAATAAACACAATGAAGGGATTATGACTGGTCTTACCAAAAACACCAAATGGAACAAAGGGGCCTGCATTCAAATCTATTTGCTAATGCTTCACAACTAGGAGAGCATGCTGTCTTGACGTTGAAAAACCCAGGGTCTCCACCCTCCCTTTGATCTGTGCAATTCTGTCTTCCACAATTCCAGGAGCCTTCAGTGAGGGGTGGCTATGTGCCCCATGCCTGCCCTTTCTTTCCTTCTTCGCTGACTTTACTATGGGTGTATTTTAATCTTGTATAAAAATATGCATGAATGAGTCATGCACATGTATACGTTATGTATTTGACAAGTGGTGGTAAAACAAAATCAAAACAGATTTGATTTGTGTTTTTGAAATGTCAGTACATTTTGTGCCACTAACACTGTGATGTATAAAAGAGCTGTTTGAATGCCTTTTAATGTTGTGTTTTGTACTCTGGAATCATATGGAAAAAGTTTGATTTGTAATTTCAATACATATTTTAAATGTATTGTGTCTTATGTAGTTTGTCCCCCGCTTCAGCAGGGATTCCTTTTTAAAGATATTTTGTCTGGAATACAGGTGACTTTTGTAAACCCTGCGTGGCTCCGTCTTTTGTAGATGCTTGTTTAACTATTGGCCTGAAGATGGGAAATGTTCTATCTTCCATCTTCAATATTTAATCTATTGAAGATTGAAAATATTCAGTATGGGAACTGGGGGTGGAGGGAGGAAGGGAGAGGCAGGGGAGGGATCTTATATCACTGGGAAAACAGCTCTGGTATTCTGAGATTTTCTGTTTTAGGAATGTTCTCGACTCTTGAATGCCAAAATTTTTTGGTTCAGTGAGTGAAATCAACACGTCCAGCCATTCCTGGCTCCCTCGTGTGGTGTCAAGCCAGTACTGCAGCATCAGGAAGCCGTTCATCCCCTCTCAGGGCGCTCTGCCTCCATCCACAAAGATGCCTTACAGACCTGTCACGTTCTATGGGATGCATCATGAAAATCAGCAGGCATCTTTTTTCTGCCGGGGGGAAAAAGTGGAATAAATATGGATCCTTTTCACTTCATAGGAGAAATAATAATGAGCTGAAGATGTGGTGGTTCACCTTGATTTTCATTCGTCTCACTCCAGCTTTGCAGGATAATCTTTACCTCGTGCATTCATATGTCGCCAAAGTCTGGAATAGGCAATTGGTTCCTTGTCCTGTTTTTGAATTTTTAAAACCACCTTTTATATCTTCAGGTACACATTAAGGAAGTGAATTTTGTTAACTGGTGATTCATAGTGAGCACTAAGGACTCAATATACCTGCCCTCAAGGAGTTCTTAGTCTCAAGGGGTTGACAGATAAGTCAGTTATCAATTATGTTTGATAATTGATTAAAAAATCAATTGTTTATCAATTATAAACAATGATCATAAGAAGGTGTAATAAGTTCAATGGTAGATGTGTGCTCAGCAGGCTTTGCAGACACAGAAAGCACAGCCCTTTCAGCCAGGCCTGAAGGTCAGGGAAAGCTGTCCAGAGGATGCTGTGCATGAGCTCAGTCTTACAGACAAGTAGGAACTAGCCAAGAAAAACTGAGACGTGTGTTCAAAGGAAGGGCCCAGTTCAACAAGTGCACGGAGTTTGGTCTGGCTGGTGTGTCGGGGTTGGAGAGTTACTCAAGTGTCTGAGCTGGGGGTGGACACAGGGTGCCCAGCTCAGGAACCTGACCTTCATGATAAAGGCTGTGCGGGAGGAGTGGGTTAGGGTCCTAGAGCTGCTGTCACAAAGGACCACACACTGGGGGTTAAAACAAGAGTTTACTGTCTCCCAGTTCTGGAGGTTGGAAACTGAAGGTTCAAGTATCTTCAGGTCTGGATTCTTCAGAGAGCAGTAAGGAGGATACCCATGTCACTCTGCAATCTTCTGGCGCTGCTGGCAGTCCTTGGTGTTCCTTGGCTGGTAGATGCACCCCCAGTCTCTGCCTGTAGGTTCCCATGGCATTCTCCCTGTGTGCACGCCTGTAGACATGGCTCCTTCATATAAGGGCAAAGTCATATTTGATGAGAGCCTCCCCCGATACCTCATCTTCACTCGATAATCTGGAAAGACCCTATTTACTAATAGGGTCACATTCACAGGTTCTGGGAGTTAGGACTTGAACATTGTTTGTGGGGAACAAACTCACCTCCATAGGAGAGAGCACGGACTGTGAGTGGGCCGTCTGGCCCCAGGGAGGCCAACCAGAGAAGGTGGACGGGAGCAGCAGGTGGCGGGGCTCCATCGCAGCGGTCCTGCCTCGGGTGCAGTCCAGAGGCTGTCCCTCCCTAACGCTGGGTTGCACATCAATTTTTCAAGCTGACCTGGAATGTAGGAATTGCCCCTAGAAAACACTGCCAAAACACAATGACTTTTAAGCAAAATAAATCCATATTTTTCTGTCTACATAGGTACATATATTTGTTTCTAAAAATTGAAAAAAAAGATTGTCGGCAGAGTCTTATCAACATTAAACAGAGACTCTTAGAGGAACCCAAATTACAGGGCACAGAGGGTGGGAATGGTGCTGACTTTGATAGCACATGCCTCTCTGGAAGGTTATTCTAAACTTGACCTTGTTTCCAGGAGTTACATGAGAGAATATAACCGCCTATGTGGCTCGACCACAAGATAGTGTCCAGTGCTCAGCTCAACTCAGCTCTGTCTATACCAGGGAGCAACTCAGCCACTGAGAAAGGCACTTGCTACCCATGACCTGAGGTGTGCTACCCGCTCTTCTCTAGCTGAAGTCACCCAAGACATGCATTTTGGATGAAGCCAACATCGAATGGGCCACAGAGCAGCAGGTGAAGAGAGCTGCCATGGCTGGAGCCACATGGCACAGGGTGACTTCCCATGCATGTGACTCAGCCTGGGAGCACCTGTCATTTCTGTTTGTAAATTGGGATAAAGAGTCCTGCACAGGATTTTTTCTCAGGATACATGAGGGAATGACAAAGAAACTGTAGAGTACATGTTGGTGATACGTTAAGTTGCTCATGCAGTCCCACTGTGAATGTGGATGTGGCTCCCCCCCAGTAACGGTAACCACTCAGCACTCCAGCTTCAAGCACAGAAGGACCCTCTTCCCTCCTGTTTTCATTGTAGGACCTGAGAAATGAACAGCTCACGTCATGGCTCATGCTGCCCACGGGTGCCGGGAAGTGGTTGTGCTATAGCCCGTGGTTAATGCAAAGAAAAGTGGAGTACATTTTTTTCATATTGGAAAATCTGAATTTTTAGTATCAAAGAATCATTCACTTGTTCTCCTGGGTAATTATCTGGGCTTTTTGTAATGGAATCTCACTCTGTCCCCCAGGCTGGAGTGCAGTGGCACCATCTTGTCTCACTGCAACCTCCGTGTCCCGGGTACAAGCAATTTTCTGCCTCAGCCTCCCGAGTAGCTGGGATTACAGGCACCTGCCATCATGCCCAGATGATTTTAGTATTTTTAGTAGAGACGGAGTTTCACTGTCTTGGCCAGGCTGGTCTTGAACTCCTGACCTCATGATCCACGCGCCTTGGCCTGCCAAAGTGCTGGGATTACAAGCGTGAACCACCACGCCTGGCCTTCAAATATATTTTTATTTATTCTTAGTTTTTTTTTTTTCTCACTCACTTAACAAAATGCATTCAGTATCTGAATACACATGACGTGTTTCTACTGCACAAGAAAGATCCAAAAAGGAGTAGTCTTTTCTCACTTCTCAGAATTTCTCGGCTTATCACAACTTTTATGAAAAGCCCAAAATGCAAAAGGGAATACATTTCAAAAGCTTCTGACAGTTGGACTCCATGTTCATTTTATCCAGGGATTTAGGAAAAGAACATTGTAAATAGGTTTTCGTATTTGCCTCCTCAGCCCCTGCTGTTATTGGACACAGAGTGGTGACTTACTCAATGCTTGTCAGATCAAGGAATTAAACTCCTGCTCCCGGCGAGGTGTGTGTGCAAGAGTCTGTGTGAAGCACATGTGTGAGTGTGCCTGTGTGTGAAGTGTGTGTCTATGCGTGTGAGTGTGTGTATGAATGTGTTTGTAGTTTGGGGAGCATATTGGTCTGTTTTCTCACTGCCGATAAAGACATATCCGAGACTGGGAAGAAAAAGAGGTTTAATTGGACTTACAGTTCCTCATGGCTGGGGACGCCTCAGAGTCATGGCGGGAAGTGAAAGCCACATCCTAAATGTGTGGTGGCAAGAGACAAATGAGGAAGAAGCAAAAGCAGAAACCCCTGATAAACCCATCAGGTCCCGTGAGACTTCTCCACTATGATGAGAATAGCGCAGGAAAGACGGGCCCCCATGATTCAAGTACCTCCATGTGGGTGCCTCCCACAACATGTGGGAATTCTGAGAGATACAATTCCACTTGAGATTTTGGTGGGGACACAGCCAAACCATATCAGGGAGAATGTTCAGTCATTTGGGATGTTCGGCTACAAAAAGCCTTACACGTGAGCTGTAGACAGTCTAGAAGCAAAAGCCTCACTGTAGTTTGGAAGAAATCCTGTTGTGAACTGGGAACCTCTTCTGAGCCAGGCACTTGCTCACTGCTTTCCATGGGTTGTGTTTCATGCTCACAAAGCTGCCAGTCTTATCATCTTCATATCACTGGGGCTTGAAGAGGCTCATCTGCCTCAAGTGACACCAAGGATGAGTGGTCGGTAAAGCCAGGAACCCAGGTCTGCCCTATGCGGGGGACAGTGTTCTTCCCACCACATGGCCTCCCTGAGCGGCTTCCCTTCCTGTTTTACCCTGACTGGCATGCAGAGAATCTCTCAGCCATATGGGGTGGTTTCCTTTCTGTTCCTGGGAGAGTTTAAACCCTGCATGTGAAGATCATATCCCAGGGGAAGAAACCCCAATCCTACCTGTTTTCAAGACAGCCAGATGAATGAGAAAAATGAGCTCAGGGAATCCTGAGGGGGGAATAGTTGCTCTCAGGCACACCCAGACGATCTCAGATGATTTCAGAGACTACAGACAAAACAGGGCTCATCTCCACCTTCAGATAATCAATCGCATACCCAAGGACCTTCCAGGGGACCAACATCAGTTGGGAGATGGTGCCCATCGCAGCACAAACATTGTGCTTCCTGGATCAACATTTTGTTCAGAGGAGAAACTAATAATCAAAATCATCCTGGGCGTGAACTGTTATTGTCACAATTTTTCACTTTACACACAAGAAAATTAAGGCTCAGAATCATTAAGAGTCTTGCCCTGTAACAAACAAAGAGTAGACCCTGGAGCCTGGCCCACCCCATAGCCTGTAGGAACACAAACAGGGTTCAGTAAGACACTCAAAACCCCGTGAAGGGCAAGAGTGGGCCAAGAGTGCCCAGGGGAGCCTCCCTGCAGAAAGGGCCTCAAGGAGGCTGCAGCAGGGGTCACCTTGCTTGGAATTAGGGGAATGACCATAGCATGGGGACCCTTCTAAGCTATGTTTTTATGGCAGCAAAGTACTTCATAGGAAAAGATCACCTTGGAAATTAACATTCCCACAAACTGAAATAGAATTAATATAAGAGCCAAACTGACATTGAAAACTGCAGAGGTAAGAGCCGG